AAGCTTTTGAGAAATTATTCTCTCCGACAGAGGAAAAGGAATAAATAAAGTCAGTCATATCATTCTCAGTAAAGTTTTGTTTTGAAACTTCGTTAAATATTGTATTTTTATTTATGTTATTGCAGAGTTATTCTTTCTGTCAGAAATAAATAAAAACTGAAGGTATCCATATTTTTAAACTTAAAAACTATACCCTTCATATTTTTTACAAATAATACATTTCAGTATATCTCAGAGCTAGCAGAAAGAAGGGTTAACTTGAAAGTCAAAATTTCTACTTAAAAACGAATGAAAAGAAAATGAATTTTCGAATAAACATTTGTAAAGTTAGGCGTTCTGTCAGAAAAAATTGAAAGCAGTCCAGCTTTTCTGTTAAATTAAGAACTAAACTTTAGGATATTTATTTTAAAAATATTTCTCATATAGTCCACTCAAAGTTTATCGTCCTGTCAGGAAAAATGCAAGTTAGATTAATAGTTTCGTTTCGAGTTTACTTACTGGTTATAAGCATTTCTTTTATCACAAGTTACAAATTTTACCGTAAGGAAGATTATTTTTAAAACAGGTACGACATTTCGTTCACTGGTGCGATCATTCTCAAGTACACAGGTTTTAACGGAAAAGAAGGTTTTTGTATTTAAATCAACATTCAACAAACTAACAAAGTTTTTAAATTAGAGAATCAATAGTGGTTACTTATGCACATGCATACCAATTTATTTATAGCTGAACATCTTGCTAGCTGCGCGTCATAACCAATAGGCCACCAAGGTATGAGAGATTGGATTTTTGATGAAATAATAGATTTTCATATAAATCATTATAATTTAACCTTTAGCTCAGAACAAAACAAAATGGTAGGTTGCTAAAACTATCAAGACGTAGGCCTTACCCTTTCAATCAAATAAATAATTTTTATATACGTCAGATATCTGTTAATATCTCTAGAAGAAAAGCGCAAGACTTAGAATAGTCAAAATCTTTGCATAAAAACCATAGCTTTGAGTTGTTTGACAAAAATATGAATTTTCACCAGGCCATTCACTCAGGTGGAAGCCCCCCAGTGGTACAGCGGTATGTCTGCGGACTTACAACGCTAGAATCCGGGTTTCGATACCCGTGGTGGGCAGAGCACAGATAGCCCTTGTGTAGCTTTGTGCATAATTAAAAACAAACAAACAAACAAACTCAGGTGGAAAAGAGGGCCGCATAGGCTTTTGAGATTTCTCGGGAAAGGGGTATTTTCTATGGTCAGTCTCGGATATGAAATACAAAAATTGAATAAATCAGCACCTTTAATTTAAAAAAGGTTTACTATTGCCTGATACAAAAGTAGTTCTAGGCATATCTGATAAATTCATAATGCATGCACGATTTTATTTAAAACTATAAAATGTATTGCTATGCACTACCACAGATTGATAGATTGTTTAGGCAGTGTATTCATGATGAAATGTGGTTAACTGGACGGCAACTGCCTGTTGTAGAAACACACGTATAGAGGACGATGTTTCGAAAGTCTTCCACCTGAAGACAAACGCGGAAGACTTTCGAAACGTCGTCCTCTATACTTGTGTTTCTACAACAGGCAGTTGCCGTTCATTCAACCACATTTCATCAATCTTTTTTGTTGCTGTTTTTTTGTTGTTCTATTCCATCAGTGGTCTACAAGTGATACTAACTTTCTTTACAAAGTAGACAGAGTTCTATCTTTTTCCCTGTAACTTCCTTATGGTAATTTGTTATAATTTAACCCGAGGAGCACTTTATGCAACACGTGAGCCAAACGGTCAGTTCAGAGACTTCAATACTAAATTAGAATCTACAGACTAGAGAGAAAAGGGGCAACTCCCCCGTCTACATAGACAGAGGGTTTGAATGGCGCGTTTATAACGCCCCCATAGCTGAAAGTGTGGAGCGAGTTCAGCAGCACTCGCAGCTCAAGTTTTAGACTTTCAGATCTGAAGCCCGGCACGATAACCACTTGGCTACTACGCAAGGCCCAAGGTAATCCGTCAGTCAGAAGGAAAGAGCCAGACGTAACCTAACAGCTGAAATCCGAGTGTACATGATTTGCGTCCCATTACAACAAAATCTCGCTTGGTAGTTTGAGGCTGTAGTGCGTTATAACATCGACGATGAAGTTCCACGAGTCTATTAGAGTAATCCAAGCGATAGCGGTGGGTGCTGTTGAATAGGTGCATTCCTTTTAGCCTATCAGTTTAAAATTAGGGACGGCTAGCGCAAGTATCCCTTGTATAGCATTGAGTTGATATCCAAAACAAAGAAACGGCCTGTTCGTTTTAACGCAAAGCTACAAAAAAATAGCAATATGCGCTCTGTCCACCACAGTGTATCTAGCCCCTGATTTTAATGTCTTAAGTTTGAAGACTTACCGCTGTCCCACCGGTGACCGTGAACCAAAGAAACAGAAGAAAGGTAAATTGAAAGTAGTGATAATTTTCGCTACTAGAGTGCAGCTTCACACTTCGGATTCTTATTGAAATGATACATTGTAATATACACTGTAGCCAAATTAATTAAATTATTAAAGTAACTATAATGGTTGCACTTTTCCTAAGGATTAAGTAAGTAATGCATGTAGTCCCCCAATGGCACAGCAGCATGTCTGCGGATTTACAACTCTAGAAATAGAGTATCGATACCCGTGGTGGGCAGAGCACAGATAGCCCATTGTGTAGCTTCGTGATTAACTACAAATAAATTAATGTATACACTTCACTACGCTCTAGTTATAAAAATAATAATATAAATTTTCTATGTCAAATGTTATGTATGTAATCTAACAACATTTGTCCATGATTTAAATTAGGGTTTTTATTAATGTGTAAATTTGTTTGTTTAAAGTTAAGCACAAATCTACACCATGGGCTATCTGTGCTCTGCAAACCACGGATATCGAAGCCCGGTTTCTAGAGTTGTAATTCTGCAGACATACCGGTGTGCCACTAGGGGGCTAATGTGTAAATATAATGTTAATTGTTCTGCACGCTCAAATGAATTACATATTTCTTGAAAACAAACAAATCAATTGTATTTGATTGCCGCGTATAAATTAGGAAAATAATGTTTAATATTAACTTCCGATCACAGCAAGCTATATGTACTGTGAAAGGCGCTGAAAGTAAACTTGGTAGTTATTATATCTTATTAATTTAGAATGAAAAGAAAATAATTAATTGTATTAAAATATATGTTGCTAACTACAGATTTCTTAAAAAAAAATTTACTTAAATTTTGAGCAGTATTTATTCTGTTTTACCTCTACCCTCTGTTTCGTCCATTTTGTTGCGTTTTGATAGAAATGTTTTATAATTTGTTTGGTTTTGTATGATTTTAGTAAATAAGAATGTGCGTTGTGTGCACCAGCCATTGTTTTAGCGAGTGTAATTTTGTGGCTTTATCAGGTAGTCAGAACAATATCTATTTTTATTATTGCTTTGCTATTATTTATGTTTTTATTCTACAACAATTGTAAACCTGCAAAACCTTCGCGTCTTATAGGATTTTACAACAGATTCCAAACAAAATTTGAAAAGTTATTTTTTATAGATTTAACAGATGGCGCCACCAGATTTCCTCCTATCTCATTTCGGTGGTTTTGGACTCATCCCCCAGCACCTGTCAGTCATGGAAAAAGTACTTATGTTTTCTTTGATAATTAATTTTAATTCTTGAACTATAATTTATTAAAAATCTGTATATTTAATAAAATCGCTACAATGTAGCAGTGTCGAAAAAATGATCCATCTCAAAATTTATTCTGACTGCAGCTTTCGTATGTTCATTTCAAATATGACCTAACTTCGATTCTTTTTTTTTGACATTTGCTGTTGACTGTCACAACTACTTACATTTAAAAAAAGTCAAATACTTCTTTTATATTATAAATTCTATTATTTTGCGGTCAATTGATTTGTTTTTACATTCGAGGTATTTAAATCATCCCGAAAAATATTATATTCTCTTGTGTTTTAGCAATATGTTCAAGAATATTTTTATAGTGAAAAAAAAATATTGTTTAACACGTCGTATAATACAGACTGCTTATTATCAACAGTCTATGCAACAATTTTTCCAAATCATTTGTACCATGAACGTGTTATTAAATTCTCTTTCAAAGCTTAAACATCAACAGAACACTTCTTTCTGTATCTAAGGGGTTACATGATGACATCATTTCTAAAAAATTTTAATACGTGATACTCAGGTTTATCGCGACAAAATTCCCGGCCCCTTTCAATACGCAGGTTTGTCACGAAAGTGAGAAATTTGGCCAACCCAAGGGCGTAACAAGCATTACAGAGTGATGAATTGTAGGGTCCTTTTTTCGAAAAGAAGAAAAATTGGGCCTTTTTTCTCTTACACAAAGAATTTAAATAATTTACATGAAAGTCTAGCGTTTATTTAAGAAGAATAATCAGAAGATAGTGGACTTTTAAAATATTATAGTGGTCGTTTGATCCCTTGACTATGCCCCTGGTCTAACCAACTTAGAAATATAAAGCGTCGCATTCACCTGCTTTTCTATACTCTTTTGTTAAGTGCGAAAATCTGCTGTTTAATTGTCCTTGTTACAATTTCTCCGAGAAGTTTCTGGAATTTCAAACTTCGCAACATCCCTTTTGATGGAGAGCATGGTCAGCCTTGCGAAACGTTAGTTTTTAGTTGGTTCTAAGAACTTATGGGTGGAAGTCAAAAAAGAATGTATCACAATATGTCAACCACACCATATCCGCTATATCCAGTGCCGACGTGGCTTCTCTCACAATACCAAAGCTCATCAAACCGAGTGAGATACGACACAGTAGTGGTTGAGACGCTGTTGATATTGTCAAACTTCATTAACAAAAACGGTTATGGTGTCAACTAGACTGTCGGAGAAGTGTAATTTGTATCAATCTTATACGAGTCAGTTACGTATTAGAATTAAGTTAAGGACTAATTATATTATTATTTCTTAACACCAATTATATATTGTTTTTTCTTCTCTCCAATTGACTGTACTTGTCATTCAGAAGAAATAGCCAATCAGAAAGCTAAAAACTTCAACCGCTTAATCAATTCTACCAATACGTGACTTGACCGCTGGATTGTGCTACAGCTAAAACCAGGCACGATTTTACTTGTTTATATATTGAGTGCTTTAACGTCACATGGGATTCCAAAAACTGGCATATTTACACGAAATCATTAAGGAACTCAAATCTATCTCCCACCTTCATTAAAGCACTGTCCATTACTACATTAAAATAATTCATTGGTATATCAATGATAGATTGGGCTTAACATTTATTTTCCTTTTTTGGTTGTGTATATAAAAAAAAATGTTTTCAACCATTGTTGTGTAGCAGTGCAAATTATTGCCCTTTATTACACCGAATTAATGTGTCTGAAAAATAATATGCATTTTATATTAAATATACCATATGTTTTGACTGAAACAGCTTAAAACCTTTGACATGTGAAAACTCCAATCTTTTATTATCATAAAATACATATACAATTCAACAACATGCGTATTATTTTCACACACACACACAACTTGAATAACGTACACCATCTACTGACAACTACTGACCAGCAGCACATTAGAAATTCTAGGAAATGATAACTGCCAATATTGCATGGCTTTGCAACCAATTCTGTTTATTCCAAATGTTTATTTGGTATTTAAAAAGTATCGGACACTTTAAATGTTTAGCTTTTTCGTTGAAACATTTTGATGAACCCCGAGTGTTGTTTTTGTGCAAAAATATTCTGTTGTATATTGAAGAAAGAACACAGAAAATATTATGTCATTGTCCCCCCCCCCCTCTTCGGATGTTGTAACATTAATAATCTTTAATTCAAGTTTCTAATAATGTAGCCTAGAAATAAATACTAACAGCAGAATGCAGAGGGCGTTTATATTTAGTATAATGCTCGGTTGTTTTTCTTAAAAGTTAATTGGAGTATACAATAGGTGTAGGTTAGGCCATTATTTATTTCTATGTTTTTATTACTAATTACCTTGTATATAACGAACAATATTTACCAGTAATGAACGATTCCACAAGTCTTGGCATTTCGGATTTTCAAATCTTATTATTTTAAGACTTCAATAAAAAAAAAACAATGACTATACACAACGGCGATTGTTTATTAAAATCGCGAAACGTAAAGCTAATTGACTCAAAAAGAGGCAATTTTGAAGTAAAAACGAAAAGACAATTTATAACAATTATAATTCAAATATTTTGATGTATATACTTGTTTGTTTTAGGTTTTGCTATCTTCTCATCTTAAAAGTTCAATAAACCTAAAGCTATAATGACTGACATTATATCAAGTTACGATATTATTAAAACTTACAAAAAGCCTAAACGTATTTTATTGCAGATAAAATATTTCAACTAACGCAGTCTATTTTGAAGCTTCTAATATGATCTGGCACTAAATTCGTCTTTTGACTAGTACACTCAAATAGTATCCTATTATTTTACGTATGTAAATGTTTTATTTCGATGTTTTGATATGCAACTCACGATATAAAGCAACGTGTTTATTCATAAGTTTCTAATATAATGTGGTACTAAAATCAATTATTTGACTAGCACACTCAAAAATACGTGACGTTTTGTGTGTTCTGACATAACATTCTCGTTACTGATCGACGTTTAGACTTTACGATAAGAAAAAAGCCTCTTTAAAATATGTGCAAAATTTAAAAAGAAATCAATATACATTTCCTTGCGCAAAATATACTATTGTGCCAAATAAACCTGTATTATTTTTTATTTACAACAGTTTCATAACAATGAATTTGCAGTCTAACACACTAATTAGAAACAACAATGTTTGATCATGTTTCTACTGCATTCATACTATTAAATGTTTGGATAACTCAAGTTATTTACCAGATATATTTGATACTGTGTCAGTCTTCACACAAACATAGTATGACACTCATATCTGGTTGAACATTCACACTGTGACGATTTTACTTGAGTCAACTTGAACCTTGATAAAGATGGTATCATCTTTTATATAACTCTGTTTCTTTAGGTTTTCATGCGACACAAATCTCGGAAATCCAAACCCTAAGCTATCTGGTTCTTTGCTAGGACGCTGAAAGTTCTTCCAAGAAGGGTCTGGAACAAAGCTTTCAACAATATTGCAAGGTTTCTCTTGAGATACAACCTGGTCGTATAGAGTAAAAGAAACAGTGTGGGAAAAAGGCCAGGTGAGAAGAGAATCGTACTCTCCAGGCAAAATCCTGATATACACAGACATATGGCTGCCTTCTCCAGCTCCATTGCCATTTAGGAAAAGTGTTGCCATCAGTTTATAACCGTACTGGCTAGTGTTAAACGGAGCACTGCATAGCTCATACCCCTCTTTTGACTTCGCTTCAGCCATTTTTTGAGCATAATCAGCAATCTTCCAGATCAAGACTCCAGAAGTGTTGAGAGTCAAATTCTGAAGAGCATTCTGAAGAGTGGAAATCTGATGTTGTTGCCTTGAGACCAAATCACTCGTTAAAATGAGGTGCGAATTGGTACTTTCTTCCATATGCTGCTCAAGAGCAAAGCGCGGTCCCTGTTAAAAATTGAAAAACTTATATTATAATGCATCATTAAATGAAAATATCTTAAAAGCTCAACAGTCACTTAAGATTACTGAAGGAACTTGCACGTGATGTTAGAACAAGATAAGTTAAAACTAAAGCATGATGTCAAACATATCTAATGAGGTAACTGGTTACCACAAACTTCAGTCTCCATTAGTATTTATATTAGAGAATGATTAAACTTCAATACCACAGACTTAGAGCTCGAAACTTTAGTATTAAGAGTATGTTACTTAGCAGAATTTCACAACCTACTCCATTCTGATGTAACATTCGAAAGTGATTAGGCCTACTCTAAATGTCTAACTTCTGAAGTTGCAATAAACATCATTTTACCGCTAGCATTAATTCTATGAATAGCAGCGTGGTGTGAAAAATTTGAACTGATGACTTGAAAAGTCGGTCAATAACTTGCATGACTGTTGTGTAGTTGCCACGCATGCGAACGTCGCAGCAGTAATTTCGGAAACGACAATTTTATCATCATAGTGAAATAATGATTCATCTAGGCCTAATTACAAACATTTTTCCCAAACCCGTAAAATGAAGGCGTCCATATCAAATGACGCAAGATTTCGGTTACTAACAGATAAAGGAAGAGCT